GGTCAACGCACCACACTGTTCTACTTAAATTGACTGAAGTTAAGAAATAGGTTATTTTCTTGCCCTCATCAATATTTATATCTGTGAATTTTTTTTTTTCCAATTCTTCGTTTCATTCATCAATGATTTTGTATTTTCATTCCAGACCATAGATGGCAGTGCTGAATGCCATTGTTACTACAACTCCCTACAGTAGCTTTTTGTCTAGAATTTAGGATGTGGGTGCTGATCTGGAGAAGCTGCATCTTGGCTCTGCTGGGATGCTTCTTACTATCTAACATACATATTCCAATGTAAATGTCCTCAGCTTGACCTAAGAGTTTCTGACTCAAATATGACTGTTGGTAGGTCATGCACTCTCACAGACCTGTGATTCAGGATGTTTTCATCTCTCATCTCTCCTCCGATTTTAGGTGAACACTGATTTGACAGACATGCTAGACCAAAGACAGAAGTAATTATCATCCCGGTGATTCTAATTTTCTGTTCATGCTTGGGTTTGTATAACAACTTATTTGGAACAAAAATTCTTACCCTAATTTTTGATAGTGTAAATTCAGCCCGTCACAGACAATTTTTTGAATACATCGTTTGACAACTTTCTCCATTTTTTTCTTGATTTTTGTCCTTTACTTTCGTTAACAAATTTCATTTTAATTGTTTGGCAAGGCTTAATTTACATTGAAAAGATGTTCAGGACACATTCAGGAAAGTGAAATAAAGTACTGCTTTAAGTCCGAAATTGGAAAATCTTCTAACTGTTAGTAATATTTACCAATAGCCCACAGGAACAAGACAGAATCACTACCAGGGCTTGCATTTTTGTTGGTAGCTTTTCCTGGTAAAATATGAATAGACCAGAAAAGTGGGAGCTTATGATCTCTCTCCAATAGACTTCAGCAATGGGAAGCCTTTGCTGCCTATACCTGTGAACAAAAATGTACAGCTTTCCTTCTTGGTAATTTAAAGTTGCACGATGACTTTATGCTAATCACAAAGTCTATTGTAGCTTACTTCTGAATGCATCATAGGATTAAAGTTTTGCTGATATTAAGTTCTTAAAATTCTGCCTGTTAGAAAATGCATGGACAAATTCTTTAAAAAACTGCGACAGGCCAGAGTAAATCCCCTCTAGAGGTGCGCAAAGCCATTCCTGGACTTATGCAATAGTTGTGATCAAGGAGGAAGCTATGAGCATTAGCACCAAAAGGAGCTAAATTCATACTTCATGAAAGGAGCGTAACTTTCTCTCACCACTTAGCCGTTTTTCAGATGTGACGTGCAATAAAACTGAAGAATCCTTACCATGCAGAATTCATTTTTATGTTAATTTGCAAACAGAAACGCCATACTTTGCCAGGTAGGCTTTCCTAAAATCCACTGCCTTGCTCATATTTACTACATTCCCAAGTCTTGCTCCTTGTTAACAAGAAGAGTATTCCACGAGTCAGCTCAGACAGATAAAAGTATTATTTGTCCAACGGTATTCTTGAAATACATGTTTTCGATTAAAGGTACTCAGTAACACACCAAACTGAGAAAAAGGGAAAACATTCCTTGAAGAAATATTTAGTTACAAATTATAGCTGATTTCTAAAATAAAACTTGCTTATACAAAATGTATTAATTATGCTGAATATATTGCTTTCAGAAGGAGGTGATTAAATTATTCAAAATATTCTGAGACTTTTAACTGGCTAATGAAAGCAAATATTAATGATGCTATCATACAAAAAGGTAAATGCCACTTAGAGAAAATCCATAGTCACAGCAATTACTATTTTCCCTATTCAGTATTAGTTACTTTAATTTCAAAGTACTTGATTCCATGACAGCATTTAAAAGCAACAAGTAAAAGTACAATAAAGATAGATTTAGAAAAAAGTGCAGAGAAGTGAAAAAAGGACAAACAAATAAGTTCTCCAGTCAGAGAAAGTGATCAATATTGAAGCTAACAATGGGCCTTTCAATATTTGTGTTCTGGAGAATTTATGTATATCCAGAATAAAAATATAGGAGATATATATCCTGTAGTGTAGGAATTCTACATACCTTATAGAATAGAAATATAACTTGCTTATACAATAGTATAAGACAGAAATCTAAGTGAGATACATATATACACACTGTGTATATGTGTTATATGTATATACACAGTAACCTGATTCTCCCGGCTTGCAAATAGATAAAATCCAACAAAGTGTAATTGGACTCTTCTATTTTATTTCTTTTATAAAAACTTATGATGTTTCACAGAAATATCAATGACTATGAGTTGCAATAATGTGATGAATTATATATATTCAGAATGATTGATAATGAAAATGATGCCATTAGGATAATTTCAAATTGAACTAGGAAAAGAATATGTTAAGCACTTACCTTCTCAGAAAGGGAAATACATTCTCCAGCTACGGAAAGAAATAAAGAACTAGGTTAGCTACTGAAGGAGACTAAAGAAGCATTTTTACTGAAAGATAATACTGAAAGAGATACCAAAGTATTCAGAACAATTTAGAAATATCCAACAATATAGAAATGTATGAACAATATAGAAATATGCAAACCAACTTACACATATAATAGAGTAAACACTAGATAAGCAAATAAGCAGGATTAATTTTTAACTGTCTGGTTTCAGTTAATATTATAATTAAGACTTAATTGGTGGTTTTAATTAAAATATGAGTAAAAATATGATTTTCTATCTTCATATTCTGTGTCCAAATTCATAACAAACAAGACTTATTATGAAATAATTTTTAAGATATTAAATCCAAATTTCAAATTTGAAGACAGATTTTTTAGCAGACATTTTAAATGGAAGTTACCATAAAACTGTAACTTTTCATGACCTGAGTAACACAGTCTTGGGAGGAAAAAAAATGACATTCCCAGTCTGCTCATAACATGGTATCTGCATACACACATACCTGTATGGAATTTTTCCATTTTTGAACTCCATCCATTGTTAACAAGCAAAGTTCAGCACAGGTTTTTTAGGAGTTAGAAAATTCCTAAGGGGTTTATATTATTCCCTGTGTTTATTTCTAAACAAAGGCATATTTAAGCACTTCTAAAAGAGTGAATTGGCATTAATAGGAGACAATGCAGTGGGTAAGTAAAAAAGACGGACATCCTTCTGCAATAGAATTTTGACTAGAAGTGATCACAAACTGGAAAAGCTCTTTACCTTTTCTGAGACTCCAAAAGCCACAAATGGTTTTAGTTGCACTGTGTATCACAATGTTACTAACAAATTTTATTTAGGTATACATTTACTGATTGGTATTGGCTGTATACTGATTGTATTGGTTTTTCCATGTGTTGGCGAGCACTCAAGTAAGAGTTCTGCAACAATAAAGACCTTTTCTTTGGGTCCACACGGCTGATTGCAGTGCCGATACTCCTCTCTTAGCATGTGCAGAGCACACTTCAGAATGTCAATGGGAGTTCTGCATACATATGGAGAGGAGGCTATAGGAGATGACATTTGCCATGTGGCCCTGAGATGAAAATTTTGCCCTAAGATAGTTCCTTCAGTAAGTTGTGGGGTTTTTGCCACCGCAGCAGTCACTTTTGTTTTAACAGAAAATGAACGTCTAAGACCTCTAAGAATACCATTTGCCAAGAGACTGATATGTTGAATTATGTTTCAATATCAACATAAAACATTGGCTGAACAAAAACTGGTGGTAGTACTATGCTATGAAAGATCCTTACTACATTTGTTGGGGTTTTTTCCTGATCTAAGCTTATGTTACACCACATCCTGTTAAACAGACCAATCTTAGAGTAGACTCCAAATTATGTTATTCCACATGGACAGCTCTTTGTATAGACAAAATTATTTAACTCTGTGATAATGGATTGATTACTGTGGACTGGAAGAGTTACTAATCTCCAGAAGTCCTAAGAGGTAACAGCAACCTATAACTATGCAGCTTAGCAAAATAAAACGACAAATACAAAAAGAACTTACTGTTTCCATTTCTTTGCTATTACTACTTTTGAAGCATAAACTGGCTTGAAAGGCAACCTTAGCTTTCCTGTTTTTCTGTTCATACAAGAATGAGCTGTTATGATTATGAAAAATTAGTTTCCCTAACAAAATCTCTAACAAAATGCTTTGTTCTGTTTTGGTTTTTTTCTTCTTTGTTTGTTTTTCCTTGCTGTTAGCTTGGTAGCCACAAAGGAAACAGACAGTGCAAGATCTCGTAGCATGCCAATGTCGCCATCTGATTTCCTGGATAAGCTAATGGGTAGGATGTCAGGCTACGATGCAAGGATCAGACCAAATTTCAAAGGTAATTTCAAAACTAAACTTCCAGGTTTTCAGTATTTCAGTATTTCTTGTCATACAAATGCTGTTTCTGGAACAAATATAAAAATCAAGAAGTACACTCAGTGAAAAAAGAAGTGCCTTCTTTTGTGTTTTTTTGCTATGACAATTCATTTCAGCAGCAATATGCTCTATTATTGTCACTTTCACAGCTGCCCAAGTGCAGACCTTTTGAAAATTTAGCTTATCGCTAGATTTGAATTGTCTTGGGTTGTCAGGTTTTTTTTCTTTTTCTGAAATACTTGTTAATGGATTCAAATTCCCACCTTGGACTACAATAGCCTGAAGCACTCCGGAAAGCAAGTTCTGTGAAAGACAAGCCAAACCCTCATACTTGCATGATCCTAACTAAAAAGGAAGAGTGTGTTAATCAGAGTCAAAATCAAGAGAGCTTATCTTAATTACCAAATCTATCACTAAATTCTCCTGTGACATTAGATTCCTCATTCCTGTGCCCCATTTTTGCTTTGAAATGGCAAAAGGGACCATCCTTCCTCTTGTTTCTTTCCCTGTTTTCAGTTCTCCACTGAAACTGCGGGTTCTCAATACCTGGAATTGTCTCTTGGCATGTGCCTTTCATGCACTTATCACAAAGGAGATTCACCCAAGACAAAAGGAGATTCAAAGACTGAAAGTCCAAAGTTTGCAAATGCAATGATTACATCTTCTGGGGGTCTTAGCACAAACCATATTATCCAGAATCAAGCATGCTAAAGTATTTAATGAAGGTTTATACAAACTATGTTGTTATACAAATATACAAACTATTATACAGACAAATACCACCCATTCTAACTTTTGCAGTAGGGGAAGTTTAGGGAAATTTTACTATTCTTTTTTTAAAATGCAAAGAGTTCCAATAAAATAGTGGAACTATATTTAACTCTATTTCTGAATCTTTAAATCAAGTTATCAGTCTTTAAATTCTCCATAATATAAATATTTTTTAAAGAATAAAGTCTAAGAGATTCTCTTAGTTCTAACATTTTACTACAAGGTGGGATTTACTCCGTGTTAACTACAAAAATTTCCCTTCAAGCAGACAGTCCTTCCTCCTCTAAGTCATCTGTCACTGTCTTTCCATCTTAATTCTTATTCAGCACTAAATTTTATAATTTTTTGACATTTCCAAGTCCCAGAAACTTAAGTGGTTATGACTCTAAAGCCACTGCTATTTGCTGGGTTTGCCAGAATTTGTCCAGACTGATTCATAAGGACCAAGTAGTTTGTCAAATTACTTCCTCATCAGTAAGCCATAAACAGTCGGTGCTGTACATACAGACTTATTACCCCGGATTTACTGCGGCTGGACATGCTTTGCTTTTAATAAGTCAGCAGTGCTGATATCTCTCAGAAAATTATAAACATGCACTGGAAATTCAAACACATCACTAAAAGATTTACAACAGTGATCAATATTCCTGATGACCATTCAGAATGAGTCCCTTGGACTTTCCTTGCCAGAACTACTGTGAAGAATGTTCCAGTGCCTGGCTTCCTGGAGGGTTAATGTCTCAAACAATATTTGCAAAGTAATGCAAAACACTGTATTTCTAAAACTACTTTCTTATATGAATGGTAGCTTTTAAAATAATTTTTGCTCCTTATTAAAGTTACCTTGACTTGTTGCCACAGTATACTCTTTAGCACGCAAACTGAAGGTTCAACCTAAGGTGAAGCTGTGCTGGGCAAAAGACCTCAGGCAAAGCCTAAGCACTGCAGTTTTTCTTCTTTCTTCTTTGAGTCTCTTGAAGTCCTACAAACAAATGTTTAAAAATGAAGATCTTACAGCTTAGCAGTTGATTTAGGGATTGGATTTTGGAGTTTGTCATGGACACCATGCAATCACAATCTTCCGATGGGGCTACAATGAAGAACAGGCAGATGGTTTAGAGATCAGTGACTTCAATACAGTACTTCTTGCAAGTACAATTCAAAAGACTTAGAGCCTTGTTTTGTAACTATTGAAATTTAAAGAGACAAAACGTAATTTGACATTGTGCTTTTTCAAAAAGTGCACATTCTAAATCTTCTGGACAGCTATGCAGTTTGAACAAATCTGCCCAGAATGATTCAGATCTATCACTAAGAATAAGTATCTCCTTAAGTGACTTTGCCACTTTCTGGTTAGTTTTATTAGTCCTAGAACAAATGCTGGGGCTTAATGCCTTTTTGAGTTTATAATCTGGCAACAGTTTTGAAGAAATAGAATGAGTACTAATAAGAGAACTCAGACAATCATTTTAAACCATTTGTTCTTCCAATGAAATTCCTATGTAGATAAGATTTTTAGATACCATCTTTCAGTCATAATTAATCTTGATCAGTAACACATAATTATATATTTTGTCTGAGTGCTCTGCTTTTGGATAAAGAATTTTGCATATCTGTTCTTGTTCATCAGAAATAATAGAGAAGACTGTTGGTATTTATTTAGCTATGGAATAAAACAGAAAATTAAGTACTCTTGTAAAAATCTTTGTTCCAGTTGCAAAATATTCTTATTTCAAGTACATCAACCCTATTCAAGATACTTCTCTTACTCAGCTGTTCCATATCCCAGGCTACATCTGTTCGTGCAAATATGGGAAATACTTTACTGTCTTTCAAATTTGGACACAATTATGTATTCTGTGTGTAAAAATTGTCATGGCCTCAAGATGGTAAAAATTAACCTGATACAGAAGAGGTGTTATATTATTAAATCTATACAGCCCAGATTGCACCATTGATAACAAACTATTAAGGCAGAAATTTGGGGATTTACATAGCAATGTCTGAAGTGTTCTTTGCCCTGGTATTGCCAAACTGTATTCAGCAATCATTAGTTTAGGAACTTGTTAATCCAAGACTTAACTGAAAAAAAAAATAATTAGGTAAATATGTTCTTCTGATCACTTCTGGAAGCTGTTTATGCTTTTGGCCTTTCCAGTATTTCATGGCAATAAAATCTTCATGTTTTGGAATAGTGAAAAGTATCATTTTTTGTTTGCTTGGAATTTGGTGACTATTTTACTTATTTTATTGCCATATGACATTGAGAAATGGAGGAAAAGGATTACTTCCTTTTGATCTTTACAGATTTGTATACTTACGTATCACTCCCTACCATTTTCCTTTTCCAATGTGAAGAGATCTGTTCTACGCAAGCTGCTTTTGTGTGGCAGCGTTTCACAGAATTTGCGATCCTTGTTTGACTTCTTGACATCTCTTTTCTCTCTAATATATCCTTTTGAGGCGGACAGAGAAGAAATTTTCAAGTATTCAAGATGGAAGTTCATGATCTGCTTGTATGGTAGTCCCTATGTTTTTATGTATTTCTTTGCATTCTCCTATCTTTATTGATTACAGAGCATGCTTCCAGAGAACCATCCATAATTAATCTAGCCACTCTCTCCTGCTTGGAAATCATTAATTTGGAGCCCATCAGTAGGAATGCATAGTAAAGATTATTTTGCATTTGACTGACACTGAATTTCATCAAAAATTTTATTGCTTGATAGCTCAGCATTTTGTGATTTTTCCGCACCTCCTTGCAGTCAGCTTTATATACAACCACCCTAAATAACGTTGTACCAGAAGCAAAATTATATTGCTATATATTCTTTTCTAGGTTGTTAATATTGGACTACAGCAATTCACTGCAGATCCATGGGGGAACTCACCAGCAGTCACCTCGCAGTTTGAAAAATGGCTATTTATCCCTAACATTAAATAACTTTAAAGCAAAAGGTCTATAAGATGACTGTCTCAGTTCAGCGGTACTAATATCCCTAAAAAGCCTTTGACAAAAGATCATGTTGAAAAGTTTTTTAAACTCCAACTAAACTATTTAATTAATTTAATTATATATTACAGTTAAAATTAATATGTATTTAAATTAATTAGATTGCCTTTGTCCACATGCTCATCAGTCCTTTCAGAGAGCTTCAGTAGATTTGAGAGATGTTGTTTCAGCAAAAATAATATTAATCCATATCTCTTAATAATAACAGTTCTCATCATTTCTACCAGTTTGACTGGTACAGAGGTAAAATTTACAGGGATAAAGTTCATTGTCAATGTCATCCACCATCACACCTGAAGCCTGTTTTTTAATTCAATTTATACTTGCTGGACATGCTACACATTTCCACTGATAACAAAACTGACACAGGTGATAGCTGACTCACAGGGATTCATATTTCCACAATTTTGCAAAGATTTTTATAATGTCTGGCTTGCTATCTCCTCAGCCTGTCAGTTTGTTCCTGTTCACTTAGTCTGAAATGCCTTCTACAGTCCTCATACAAATCTTCCATCAGAATGGCTCCAGTATTTGACACAGCTAACAACTGGAGACAAATGCTGCTACAAAGACTTCATTTAGTTTTCTGCTCTGACCTTCTTCACTTTCATGGATACTTTTATATCTTAATCATCTTCTCTTGACTTCACCTTCCAGATCTTGGCAGGATTTTGTTTTTAACACCTTGCAGATAGTTATCATTGTTAGTTTTTCTGTCTCTAGTGAGTTTCAGCTCTATTTTTTTTTCCCTGTCTTTAATCTATGTTCAACTTGCCTGAGTTGCTGTGTTTAACTACCAGATTTAACAGCTTCAATTATGCTTCTTTTTGACCATGTTTTGAGAAGTTAATTTTTACTCTCAACACAGTATCTTTAAGTAATCTCTAAACTATTTGCAAGCTACTTTTAGCTTCTCCTTTAATGTTCTTTTGAACTAGCTGTTAACTATATTTTTGTAATACTGCTTTTGAAATTAAGCATCTGCATTGTAGTGATTTAGGGTTTTTTTCTTTATAAAAGCAACTGTTTTGTAAGCAAACTTACGCTTTAAAGCATATTACTATTTTAAACCAGATGGCATCATACCAAATTTGAAATTATGACAAGTACTACAACGTGAAAGTGTTTGAAAGGAAAGCTGCCTTGCAAACAGGTTATCTAACACAGGCAGAAGTACAATTTTCTCCCTGACGGTTTTTAGTGAGTCTGCCTTTTTTCGTGTCCCCTGCTTCTTCTTTTTCCCTTGATCCTTTTCAGGAGTTGTCAATGTCAAGCTTTTACTGAATCCTAAGAAGTATTGGATATGCTCAACAGCTCTAAATAATTAACCAAGTATCAAAGTGAAAATGGTGTCAAAGTGACTGCAGAGTGATACCTCCTTACCCGAGAATTCTGCTCCATAGGTGTGGTCTTGTGTATTATAATGACTGAAGTACGTAGTGATTTTTTGTTGCAATTGCCATTACAGTACTTCAAAACAATTATTGCCTTGAGGAAACAAAGCTGGATGTTCCAAGTTGTGTGTCCTGATGGTAGAATTTTTAACGGACATTCTGATTCTTTGAGTATTTAATATCAAGGTTATTGGTCACATTAGATTTTGCTAGTTTCAAACCATCAGAAGTGGCAGAGCAGCTTCTTACTTCAGCAACCCTAAAAAACAAATGTTACATAGGGGTTTGTAAGACCAGTCCTCAAATTCCAGATATAGATTTTTCATTATTAGTGACTGCTTACACCTGCAAAAAGAAACCAGGTTCTCCAGTGCTGAACTGGATTATTGATATAAGAATATCAAGGTGCAGGAGGGTGACAGAAAAACCTTGTGATGGAAAAAACTTGTTTCCACTGTACACAGACTGAAATTGATAAGAAATAATGGAGAAATTAGTATGCTCCACCACAATGCCATTTTTACAGAGACTTACAGAGAAATAATTTAAAACCTTTTCCATGAAGAGACGATTCATTGTTCAGTTATCATAATGACTGCTCTGCCACTACTGATGCTTCACAAATGCAAGATAAGACAGAACAACAGTTGAGTGAAAACCCATGGTAACAGAAAATTCAGTTTAAATGGATTCTTAACCATTTTGTGGATTTAAGAGAAATGAGAATAGAATCTAAGTCATTCTTTCTTATCCACATTTGTTCCTGTAAGCAGTAGAGATAAGAGCAGCAATAATGTATTTCTGTTACCAGTGATGACAGATAACATTAAAGGTAGCAGCTGCCTTGAATGAAAAAGGTCACTTTTTCCCCTAATTATTGTAAGAAGTGACATACATTACTCACTGAAATGCATATAAAAATATTTTTTACTATATATTTCAAATAGGATGTTGGGGTTTGGTTTTTTTCATAGAATTGTCTGTGCAAGTTTATAATGAACTTTCTATCTTTTTTATTGCTAGAACTGGCTAGTCAAGTAGTGTACCTTTGAGAAAAAATCAAAACAAAATTATTAGAAACCATTCAATTTAATTTTGTGTTAAATAAGTTATGAATGTAGCATTATTTCCTCCTAAGTCAATAAACATTGTTTCATAATGGTTTATATTTTACAGTCACTCAATAAGCAATGATTCTGGAACAAGGACTGGTGTTTTTTCTCTTTTGCAGGCCCTCCAGTTAATGTCACATGCAACATATTTATAAACAGCTTTGGATCCATTGCAGAGACAACCATGGTAAGATATTTTACCTCAAACAATGTTTAAAGTTCAAGTTAAATATGTTCAATGACCTCAAAAGCTAGCTAGGGCTTCTCTTCACCTAGAAGCAAATGAAGAAGGAAACCCACATCTGAGAACAGAAAGTGAGAACATTTAATTTGGCAATTGATTATTTTTTTAACAGAAAATCCATTGTTATACCATCAAACACACAAGTAAAAATAAAGCCAAGGGTTGTTTGTTTTTTTATTTTTCCATAAGTTTTATCTGACAGTTGTAATGAACTAATTATTTTCAATTAGATACATATTAGTTTCTATAGCGTTCCACCTTTCTAACCTCAGAAATGGCAATTTATTAAGTTGCTTTCTTAATAATAATATTTTATAATTTTATTATATACAGTACATATGGGGATGTATACTTTATTTAAAAGGTCCTTCTTCCATAGAGCTATTGCATAGAGATACTAGAATAACTAAAATGGTGATCTGGTATATAAGATTTTATTATGAATTCTAAGAGTAGAGTAAATATAAGTGGATTGCACACTTTTTGTACATACACTTGTAATTTGTCTATAAAAGAAAGACAGAAGATAGAGTCCAAAAAGACTGGATATTTTAAGGACGTAAGGAGAGAGAAGTCAAAGCCTAAAGATAGTAAAACTAGATATTGAACCATGAACCAACAACAATAACTTGGATAGTCTTACAGTGAAACATATATGCTAATAACTTGGAGCACAGATTTACTCATTAAAATTTGGTGAGAATGAAGATACAGGCATTCTTTCTCCATACAACTTTCTCATATATTTTGAAGAAAGGCAAATAAACACCTTTAAAAACAGTTACATAGTAATTTGGGGACAGAGAGGGTTAAAATATAGGGAGATAAAGGAAGAACTGTGAGACCTTGTAAGAACCAAATATAGTAAATACTCTGAAATCCCAACAATTTCAAGGGTCAGGATATGTACTTGGAATGGCAAAACACAGACCAAAAATAATTGGTAGAGCCGAAAAAAAGAAAAAAAAATAAAAGAATAATACTAAGCAAAAGCCATCCTTCTAAATTACCATTAAGAGCAAAAATGAGACCTTTGAATGTACCCAAGAACCTGTAGTTAGGAAATCAATAATATAAATTCATAAAGTCAAATATTTATGCCCCCCCATCTCCAAAGTGATATTCACAGCTGCCTCATCTTTGCTCGCCTTGAAATATAGTGGTAGATGTTACTGAGAGAGGCAGATGATTTTTTTCAGGTAGAAAATTACTTTAATTTGTATTTGGGTGTCTTGCCAGATTGCAAATCCCAAACAGATTGACATGGCATCCAAGGAGATTTATTCAGCTTCGATCAGAGGATTAAGCAATGCCCACATGATTAGAACAGTGCTCCACAGCTACTTTTTAATGGCTGTACGGGTGAATCTGGTGCAAAGCAGGAGACAGACCGCAGGGTCAGTAAAGTGCAAAGATCAGCAATTAGAAGTTGCTACCACTTAAAAAAATTGTCCTGAATTTGGGAAAAGTACGCCTGAGTTCACATCTCAAGTGTATTTTCTCCCCAAGAAATAATAATTACAAACGTTTCTTTTCAGTACAACTTAGTAAGTTAGTGCAATACTTCTATCTTGTAATGATTACATTCTGTTCTGTGTTGCCTTGAAAGCCAGTTAAAACAGTCGAGATGATAGACTACACCCTGATCTGTAACAAATAGTTCCAGGTAGTATGTTATAGAAAATACCAAACCTGGTCAGAACCACAGGGTTTTTCATTCTATCAACTATATGCATTCAAAAACTGGACAATTAAGCACAACCTTGACCTTAGGACAAACGCTGCCTTCATGATGCTGGTATCCTGTTTATAATGTATTCTCTCATACAGTCCAAACCAGACTTTTGCTTATGGTCAGCAGCTGTTGACCTCTCAGTGACTCAAATCTTCCTTTGCAGAAGAACAAATGCTTTTGTGTATAGGACTTTAAATTGTGTGTTTTATTAGCTTTACTTCTCCCCAACACTGAAGATGAACGTCTTCTGAAAAACATGAAAATCCTTCTATCTTAAAATTACAATCAAAACCATCTTGTGTTGTTTTACAAACTGAATTTCTGCATTGTTGAACAAAAGTCAATTACTGCTGTTCAGTGTTTTAACGATTGTCATTATTTTAGCTATTTACTATAGTCCTTAAAATTCAGGTATCTGTGTCTTAATATCTATTCTAAATCTTTAGACGTAGAAAGACTTATTAGAACAATTAGACTAAAAAAGAACTTTGGTATTCTTGATACTTTTATTCCAAACTGCAAAAAAAAGAGCTTAAGTAAGAAACAAGTCCAAAATAAAACCTGGCCACTAAATTGTACCCTAAAATTTCGCTGGTATTTAAAACTACCAACTGAATATTGGGATATGCATTTAATCTATTACTTTAAAGAAGTCCGAGTACATCAAGCCCCGTCCTTCACTGGGGTAATTGCTCTTGGCACTGCCAGCCTCTCTCCCCTTCTCCCTGGTTCTTTAGTTCTCTCACCGGCAACCAAAATCTTTGAGCTCCCTCTGGTGCCTCGGCTATGTATAACAAAGTAAACAGTTACACAAAAACATCGGGTTAAAAAAATAAACAAGATCGGCAGCAAAATAGCCCGGTGCCAACGTTACATTACCGGCCTGTGTCGTTCTCAATAAGAAGAGGAGTTTGGCAGTGTGCGATGGGAACCTACAGCGGGAACCGGCTTTCAGGCAAGCGGAGTCTCTTAAACTCCCCCACACCTGATCTAGCAGATCAGGAGAGAAAGCCAAAGCAAAAAAAAAAAAAAAAAAAAAAAAGTAGCTTAATTGGCTTACAGCTTGTTAACTCTGTAAATTGGCTCTTTCTTTTTTCTTGGTTGTTTGTTGGGGTTTTTTTTACATTTCTCTCCACTTCTTTAGAGTATGGGTTCCAGTTATTTCATATTCCCTTTCTTGGTCTCAAAAGAGAAATCAGATGGTTCATAGTGGGGAAAAGGCATGCCACCTCATGGTGGGAAACTGTGATTCTAGTTGAACCTAGGTAATTTTAAGTGATCATATGAGGAACTTAATTTATGTCACATTTGCTCTGAGGAGGCAGAAAAAAAAGTAACACTCCCTTAAACAAACTTTCATCATTGGCACCACTTAGAGTCCAGCCTTGCCAATCTTTCTGTTTTATTGACTCAAATGGTAGAACCAGATCTGTGTATGTCTCAACGTTATTCACAGAGGGAGGATTTCACACTCATCCTCTAGCCAAGTAAAACTCTTACTGCTTCTCACATATAATTGAAAACCTAGGTCCAGTCTTTCATTTCTACATGTTGCTACTATTCTTTTTTTCACACTAAGATTTAGAAATCTTAAAGAATAGGAGATTAAAAAAGATGGAAGCCTAGAATAAAATTACTATTTCATTATATGAAATTAACATAATTAACACAAATTAATATCTGAAGTTTTTTATTTAAGATAAATAGCGATGTACCTAAGCACACTTAACCTTAAAAATCTGACAAATCAATTGGATTGCTTGGTCATGTAAAGTTAATTGTATGTTGGCAATATGGGAACCATATCCAACAGGAAACCAAATCATTTGCTTATTGGTGCACTGGAACCTAAATTTCAGGTTTTATCACAACATCCTCAAAAGTTCTTTACAGAACTTTTTTGTAGCTCAAGCTGTGCTCAGCTTGTATTTGCACTGTATCTCCTAATGCGAAGAGATTTCCTGATTGTTAAGAGCAGTGTCATATATATTGTTGGCAGTTACCAACAAAAAAAGAGAGGAGAGATTATTCAGTCTTACAGGGTGAGAATAACATCAATGCCAACATTGTCAGCTACAAATGTTCAGAGACAAAATACTGAATACATGAAGAAAAGGCTACAGAATAGTTAGGCTATGGGGCAGATAATAGGCCATACCAAAAAGTCTCCTTTTATTCTAGTAAATATAACTGACCAACTTCCTCAAGGTTTTCGGAGTTTTAAAGGTCAGGAACAACACTTTGATCTTAATGCAGTTTACAGCAATATTTACTAAGTATGTATTAATATGCTTAGCATAATGCATGTGCTAAAAGTGCATTGAAAGGGACACTCACTGAGAGACCTAATGGCAAATGACAACACTGCAAACAATTAACACATTAAAAACCATATGTCTGTTATTTGTTCCTGCCACATTTTTGCTGATGGGTATTTCTTGACTCAGTCTGAAAAGAACTGTGTTAATTCTGAACGTTGCTAGGAAGCAGGTGATAGATCTTTCTGTACCCCCAGCACTAATGATATTATCTTACATTTACAAATAAAACATGCTTTTAACTTACATTAACCCATTTTTAAGCCATCGTAATTACTCTCCTTTCACAAAACACAGCTCTTTAATTTCATTAACTTCATCTTTCTTCAAGTGAGAATTTCTCTTTATGTTGTATTCTACCTATTCTAGGTTGTCTTTAAATAGAGTGCTTGAAAGGAGTGTTCATTTGTATACATTGCAAAGCTTAATGCTGAAGAGTTTCACCAAATATTTTTCCTAAATTGATCATTTAGTTGATTGTCTCAAATACAAGGAAATACATGCCTTTGTTAAAAATATGCTGTAATAAATGGTGGAGCAGATGGATAGGTGGGGTGACACTACGCATAGAAGAGGCTAGTACAGATGATACTGCACATAATGGTTATCAGGTATCGATAGCTGAATTTCCAAATCTGGGGAAATCTGGTTCTCAACTAACACTGGAAATCATCCTTACCCAACAAGTCAGAAATGAGGAGAAATAATCTCACTGTGTTTATCTCCTGGCCTCTGGGAAGCTTTGTGAGGGTGATTGTACTATTTTGTACCTTTTCCTCGCCTTCTGTGTTATAAGATGAGAATATTCCTGTATTGTTTCCAGGCATCTGTATAGGAGTTTTTTCTCAGGAAATAACTCAGCCTTTTGGGCACCTTTTATGACTCTGAAA